CTCTCAAACATGTTAGGTGTCGCCCAGCCCGCATCTCTACAAATGTCTGTTATCGAAGTGCCACATGCCAAAGCCCAGGAAGAAGCAACACTCCAGGTAGAGTGAGCTCTCACCCCCAGAGGGCATGGCTGATCTTAAGCTTGGTAGGCCAAGACTATGGCATCCACTATCCAGTGGGCAAGACTTTACTTGGAGACAGCCTTTGCCTTCTGCTGTCTGCCATAGTAAACAAAGAGCTGATCTGAGGTCCCATACCCTCTTAACAGAAGCTAATGCACGCCCTTCTCACCAAAGAGGCCAGCCTGGGAGATTGGGCAATGCTGCGGGCACAGCTGCATCGCAATAACACACTCAACTTGGGGGATCTCCACGTACCCCCTGGCCGCCCCGCCACCGAGAGTAGTGAGGATGGAAGAAGCACTAGATATAGAATAAGGTGCCCTCCATGATCTAGTACCCTCCACATGCACTTCTGAGAAGAATGGTACCGGAGATGGGTGCTGACGATCAGCGTGGGGCACCCCCAGGTACCAATCGTCCAGCCTCAAGCGTTCGGACAATGGTGGAGGCTTCCACTCAAGCCCAACGCTCACGGTGGCCTGGGAAAGAATAGCAGTCAGCTCTGGGTCTGACTCTGACAATTCTACCTTAGGTATGGGTCTTCATCCCCAAAGCCTAGCTCACCCTCCGATGCAGCGATCGACATCCTGTCATTTGCCGAAGCCTCGAAAGAGAAGCTTGGTTCCCCCTTAGAAGGACCAGCAACCTCATCCCAAAACACCACAGCTTGAGATGGGCTAGAGGAGCAAGGGGCCCACGGAGACGTGCTCGGCGGGGAAGCCCTCGCTGTAATCCTCAGGTCACCTTGGCCACACGAAAAATTAGTCCTCCCCCTCTTCAAGGAGGAGAAACTAGATCAGGGACTCCACCTCGTTTGAGGTACTCAAGTCTCGACCGCAACACTGCGGTGGTCATCTTCCCGCAATGGGAACATGACTCATCCACGAACACCGACTCAGAGTGCTTAGAGCCCAGGCACGTGATACAACGATCGTGAATGACAGACCGAGCCAGAAAGCAAAAGCACCCAAAAACACACGGGTGGAATGATATCTTTAGAAAGACGCAACGTCACACCCGTGTCACTCTTTTAGATATAGGAGGTAACAGCACGACTGACAGCTCTTATAAACTGCAGCATGCACGGCAGGTTTCTCTCTCAGCACTGAACACGCGACCATGCTTTTAAACATGTAAACCTCACTCTTCCCCTTCTGTATACCCGCATGAGGTAAAAAGATCTTTGGCTTCTCTGAATATCTTAGCTGTGGTCTGTAATGGCCAATCTGGCAGGGTGGCAAATGGCTCCCTGACTCTTGAAATATTCACCACATCCCCAATTAGAGCTTCATGTCACCTCTCCCATTTGTCAGTGCCTGATTTGGCTGGGGTTTCGCTCTCTCTAGCAGGAGATGTGCCACTTTCGATGTCTAATTAATCAAATCTTGGCACTTTTTCAGGTGGAGAGGAAAAGTAATCTTCTGTCTATAGGGAATATGTGTAAAATGTTTATTCCATACTCTAGTTTAATCTATCATTTACAGGTGATTCACACAAGGACAAGGCTGACCATACGCTGCTTTCTCAAGGGGCTCATTAAGAACTAAAACAAAGAGCTTGTGTCATACATTTATTTATTTATTTAAACATTTATCAGCAATATTTACTAGAAAATGCTAAATATCTGTGTTCCAAAAAAGCATATTTTTAGCACACACTTTGAATTGAATTAGTACAGAGGCTGAGAACACTAGTGAAAATACTTTATTTTTAAATACAATCTTTCATTGCAAATTGTATCATCAGCATAACAATGTGAATAGAAAGAATATACTGTATTTGGTCAGAGCATTTATTTGATTAAAAAATACAGTAAAAACAGTAAAATTGTGAAATTTTACCAATTTATTTACAAATTAATGTTACCAAGTTATTTTAATTATTATACATTTTTAAATAAATGTAATTTATTGGAAACTGTGAAACATTTTGTTTGGGATTTTTTTGATGAATAGAAAACTCAAAATAGCATTTATTTGAAATAAAAATATTTTGTAACATTATGAATGTTTTTACTGCACTTATGGTCTATTTAATGCATCCGTGCTGAATAAAAATACACATTTCTTAATATATATATATATATATATATATATAAATAAAAAAAAATCTTACTGACTACAAACTATAAGTCAAGGTAAGTAAAGCTAATTTGTACTGTGCTTGTAGACATATTTCCTTATGCAAACAAGTTCAGTTCAGAACTTCACATGCATTCTGGATTTGCTCTGTGATGCTCAAATCAAATATTAACTTCAACCATGACATGTCCTACATTGACTAGTGTGAGTTGCACTTAGAAGATAAACTGAGCAAATTGGAAAAGCATATATCCGCTAGCTGCAGGTTTTATTTAGAGCTCTTTGATCATGGCAAAGTGCTAGGATTGTGAATATTGAATGAGGCACCTAGGACTCAATCAGCTGTCACATAATCATTCCATTTAAATTCAGGTACTCAAACATACACAGCTACTTATAAGTGGTCGCTCTTCTTAGGTAACATGATACCTTAAGTCCTTCATCTTTAAAAGCAGATGTGATAAAGATATTTGTATTTGTTAATGTTAAAATGCAAGTTTTAACAATATTCATGCTATAAGATGTGATATTTGCAACTGTAGGAATTTAAATAGGCTACAAAATAAAAAGCGGTAAAATTAACAGATTTTGCAGTCCCCCAAGACTATTGACTGCTCATTTAATATGTACAACAATCATTTTATCATTGCATAACTCAGTTTATTTTAGCCATGTGTCTGCACCTCTTTCTTTTCAATGCCACATTATCGAAAGCAGTGAGTCAGATTAATTGATGAGAAAAAGCATTAGAAAATAGTAAATTAAGTGCATAATGAGCACTAGTATGCCATGTTTATGCTGCACATTTTGCCTGCTGCTCACTAAATGACTGACACTGCAGCATTTAGACTGACACTGTTTGCTATTGAAAATGTTTTAAAATGCAAACTGAAAGCATTCAAAGTTTATAACATTTACAATGTCTCATTGGCAAGTAATCATTCTGACTTCATTCACCTCACTGACCAAGTTTAGAGGACTAAACAGAGCTACATTAGTCTCGGTTAGATGTGACATCCTAAGATTGATAGTTTGAGGAACTAGTGGAATGTTTTTCATCTCAGCAGAATTGCCATGTTGTAGCAATTCATGTCAGAGGCAAAATGCATGTCCGTTGTGGCAAAGAGATGCAATAATAATTACCAGTGCAGAAACAAGAGGGTAAAAATGCGTTGGATATTGTTTGACATGGAGGAAAGTGTGGTCAGTCAGAAGATAAAAAAATGCCGTTATATTTATTGTAGAGCTTTTAGAAGCTCACCGCCAAAAGCAAACGCATATATTCACACAAAGCAATCATCAGCAGATAATAAAAAGCTTTTAATAAAAGCAGTGTGACCGAATGAAAGCCATTCAATAGTGCTAGAAATGATTGAGACATCTATAAGTGTTTTTAAATCATTTCTAAAGATTGACTAAGGACAACATGAGAAATTACTCATAGGAAAAATTGTTACCAAAACCTGTGAATGTTTCAGAACATAAAACAACGTCCATATACTGTTCTCTCTTTGATTTCACAAGCTATTAAAGCAAATTCTGCTATTAAATATGAGTTTTCATATACTGTGAATCTGAGGATGTTTCTAATCGGGTACAAATTTATAGGGGGCTGTTTTTGAACACAGATGAACAAGCTTATGAAAAACTAGAAGATGGATGAAAATATGACTGCTGGATGCAGGTTGCAAGGTTCTGGACAGAATGGTGCAGAAAATAATTAAGCCTTTTTCAGCTAGACTGCTTCAGAGAATGCTTGGCAGATTTCAATATGGGGCCCTGCAGGAGAAATATGGAAATGAATCCAAAGAGGAACCGTGTTGAAGGAAGCTGGGAATTTAAATCAGCCTGCAATGATCTAGGATACATACATCATTGAGGGAAGAAAACATGCTACGACCAAGAAATGATGTCTTACACAATACGTGCCAACTAAGAGCTTTTTTTGTCACGTAACCCAGACTGTCAAACCTCAGTGAGATGCTAATTATTCACAGCACTTTTTTTTTTTTTAAATCTATACTTTTTCATTAGATGACAACATACAACATTAAAGGAACAGTTCTGAAAAAATAAAATACTGTTCATGTTCACTCACCTACATGTCATTCTGAACACAAAAGGTCCGAATTTTAAGAATGTACATGTTTTTTTTTTCTCTCGATACAATTACAATTAATAAATATTTCAAGCTCCAGAAAGGATATAAAAGCACCATTAAAAAGAAAAAGGTCATCCACAAGACATGTTCACTATATTTTAATTATTCTGAAGCCATACGATAGATTTATACAAGGAACAAACTGAAATTGAAGTCTTCTCTTCCAGTGAGCTGTTTTTGTCCATTTTTGTGATTTAATCATTTAGACTAGTTCAATTTGAATCAATTTGTTCATTTAAAAGAACCGACTCAACTAAGGCAGCGGATGTCAGCTTTGTGGATTTCAACCTTTTTGGTGAATAATGACTTCAATTATGTACTTTCTCCTCATACAAACCTATCAAATGACTTGTATAGAGCACTTTTACAATAGTTTTATTATGTGACCTTTTTGATGTTTAAAAGCTCCAGTCACCATTAACTGTAACTGCATGTGAAAAAATTAACAGTACATTCATCAAAGAATTATCATTTTGTTTTTCAACTGAAAAAAAGAGGAAGCCATACAGGTTTGGATTGACATCAGGGTGAGCAAATGGCAAAATGTTCCTTTTTGAGTGTAATATTTCTTTAATGTTTTAATGAAATCTGACCTCCATGTTTCTCCTTTTTTTGCCCTTGATGTTTCTTGCACCTCTTGTTGTGATTCTCCAACTCTGGAAGGGAAATGTACAACATCAAAAAGGTTTGACACTTGACAGATCTCCTCATTTCATTCTTCAATGAGTTTGTGTCATTTCTCCATGCTGAGGCACTTCTGACAGACAGACAGTTTATTGGCATCAAACTCACAGCACCAACATCTCAGCCTCAAACAGAGAGGATGCATCTTATAAGGGGGTATTACTAATTACTAAAAGGCTTTGACTAATACACATTAAAGGGATTAGCTGACCAAAGAGCATCATGGGATTGTTACATATTTAGACAACATTGGATACATACTGAATAAGATGTACAACTGCAGCAGTCAACCATAAATTCAGTCACTTTTAGTAATATGAAATTATCACAACACGTATTTCCTGCATTTTTTTTTTTATCCCTGAAGTCATCATTTAGTACTAGTCGAGGTAGGTGACAGATATTTAAATGACCTCTGTTATGGTAGGCCAAATTAATGTTGTAAATTTAGTAAAAAAAATAAAATAAAAACTATTCGACTGACAGCCCAACATTTTTTATTTATAAAGCAAATGATAGATTTGTTTCTTACAAACATGCAGCTTTTTACAAGATGTTAATTGATGGTCTGGAGTGGTCTGGATTACTTGTAGATTATTGTGATGTTTTTATCAGCTGTTTGGACTCTCATTCTGACGGCACCCAAAAAAGTGTATATTTTTTTTAATGTGATTGTTGGTACATTTTACCAGTTTTTACCATACTTTCAAAACAAAAATTAAAATAGGAAAAATATGCAATATGAAAATAATTGAAGACAAAATGTGTTTTACTGAGAAAAAACAAGATTTGGTTTTTAAAAAGCCTTTTTCCAAAAGGTACATCTGGAAAAAGGGGGGGTCGTCTTATAATCAGGGTCGTCTTATATTCGGGCCAATACGGTAATTCTAATTTCGAATACTATTTAGGACGGATATTGCGAATTGCGACACAGCAACTGATTCATTCAGGAACGATTTAAATGACTGTCTATGTGAGTGAGTCATTGAATCATTCGCTCATCAGATTCGTTCAAACACACTGATTCATTCTGGAATGCCTAGAGTAGGGAAGGGAAATTCGTGATATTCCATTCAGCTCAGAGATGCGTTATTTTTCGACACACAATTAAGCGTTGTCTTCTTTTAAAATATTTGGTTTAGCGAAAAAAGTGAACTAAAGTCAAATTTTGTCTGAAACCTAAGTTAATCGATTGTTTATTGAACTGTGACCTTGTACCTATTGCTGAATCACTGCCGCTGCTGACACTCGGTAAACAAAGAGCACTCTTGCTCGTGTGACATTGCTTAAACAACACCTCTGAGGCTGACAAAAGATAATAAACTCTGTTTGTCCTCCCTCTCTCCTCAGCATCGTGACCTTGCTCAGCTCTGTGCTCTTGGGTTCACTGGCCACTTTCTTTTGTAACAGATCTTGTCAAATCCAGTCCAGCAGCTATGGGGGCATTATGGGAAATGTTCCATCACTTGCTCTGTGTCTGAAAGCAAAAGGTCACTCACAAGAACAGAGGTGGCACTTTGGGGACATGAGGTTATTATGACAAAGCTGTAAAGTTTGAAGGACTTTAAAGTGTGCTTCTGAAATAAAGGGGAACAAAGACAGCAGGATTTGAAACAGGGTTGTCCACTATTCAGAAATAAATTAGGGATGCCTTTTAAATTCCTAAATTTGAATTTAGATAGTAAACAGGCTTCTACATATTACAAAAGTTTGGGGTTGGTAAGATTTTTTTAATATCTTTGAAAAAGTCTCTTATGGTCACCAAAGCTCCATTTATTTATAATAAACTTATTTATAATAATATTTTTTATAATAAAAGTATTATTTACTTTTGAATGGTAATGAGCATTGAAATGACTGTAATTATTATTTAATGTAATTAAATTTAGTTGCTAAGTTTGTGTTGGACTAATGGAGTTCCTGTTGTATGACTGCGATAAGTTTCTTGGCAATTCAGTACATTTCTGTTCCCACCATTCAAATTCCATTTTAAAGGCATATGGGTGTGGCCAATTCAGTTCAAATTTACGCTCATGAATTGAAAGCAAACCAATTCTTAAATTACAAGTTTGCACAACCCTGATTTGGAGTGGTTTATATTAGATTTTTGTCATCATTTAGTACTAGTCGAGGTAGGTGACAGATATTTAAATGACCTCTGTTATGGTAGGCCAAATTAATGTTGTAAATTTAGTAAAAAAAATAAAATAAAAACTATTCGACTGACAGCCCAACATTTTTTATTTATAAAGCAAATGATAGATTTGTTTCTTACAAACATGCAGTTTTTTACAAGATGTTAATTGATGGTCTGGAGTGGTCTGGATTACTTGTGGATTATTGTGATGTTTTTATCAGCTGTTTGGACTCTCATTCTGACGGCACCCATTCACTGCAGAGGAGCCATTAGTGAGCAAATGATGTAATGCTAAATTTCACCAAATCTGCGCCGAAGAAGAAACAAACGCATCTACATCTTGGATGGCCTGAGGGTGAGTAAATTTTCAGCACATTTTCATTTTTGGGTGAACAATTCCTTTAAAATAGCAAGAAAAATCATGTTCTCCATAATAGAATTCAAAAAGAGAGCATGTTTACATTCGCAGTAACAGCACAGTTCTTCAATCACATATTTATGACAAGCCCTGTACACAGTGAATAAACTTTCCCCACATTCTGCATATGCAATGCCTCCTTATTGCTCTCTTGCCTTGTTTTCTTGCACTGCAGCATGTTCTATCAGGGCAAATTGATGTTCTGCATTTACTAATGCCCGAATCAATGTCTAACATCCACCACTGCCTACTTGATTCACATGCATGAAAGAAAAATAACCTTATAACCGTTTATGCTCAGTGTCATTATGTTCTCATATCTTTCAAATCACCTACTAGATGACAAATGATTATTCACAATTGGAGAAAAAATATTGACACCACCAAGGGATTTCATCATTAGTATCGATTCATACAAATCTACAGCTAGACAGCCTGGAAGATAAAATGTTCCTTTGTTCAACTATGTAAGGTACCAGAAGGTCATGCACTCATACAGGAAAACTGTAGATGAATGCGCCCAGGGGCAAAATTAGAAAACAATCCTCATCAGAGCTTCATTTTTAAATATATGATGTTGATTGCAGGGTACTGTATAGTAACTAGAAACACATTACATTCTTGTACAGCTAACTATTTTTCTATGTTGTTAGAAACGCCTCAGTACACAACGTACTGCTAGTATTAGCCTATACTAAGTAGTATGGTATTAAATCAGAATTTCAGAAAGAAACCTGACAGAAACACTCAGTACATTCAGAGATTGAGATATCAACCTGATGCCTCGAGGGCTTTCTGTCCTCTCCACTTGTATCCCTTGTCATTTCAAACATGGCAAAAACAAATATATCTCATATTCTCATCCACCAGATCAAGAAACTCAGTGTTTAAAGGAATACTTTACCTAGAAATCAAAATTCTGTCATTATTAATTCACTCTCACAATGTTCCAAACCCATACGCAGCTCTTTTTATTACGACAATGAACTGTCAACCTCCAAAAAGAAAAAAATGAATAAATAAATTATAAAACACCAACAGAGAGGAAGATTTGCAGTGAATAAAGACTGAATGTTGGTCTGTTCCTCACACAACACTATCATATGGCATCAGAAGACTTGGAATATAAAGCACAAGTCATATGGAACATAAAGTCATAAAGGACCCTTGAAAATGTGGTTCAAATGGATTCTGGGAAACATTTAAAGCACATAGTTTTAGCCATTTGATTTAAGCTTGATTTTTTTCCATCAACACAACAGTGTTGACACTGATGACATTATAAACATGAGACACTGTCTTCAAAATAGTATCAAACTAATACATGCAAATTGCTATTTACAATTACAATGATTCCATAAGGACAGCTACAATGTAAAAATAAATAAATAATAAACAAACAAATAAATACATAAATCGTTCTTTCTTTACAATGCGCTTTTAAACAGTACAGGCATAGGGGAATAATATATAAATGATAAATCTATTATTCCTTCAAAAACTGACCAGAAGAACGAATTTCTGTAGACAGTATGGTAAAGAATACATTTGCACATACCTTGATGTCTTAGATGTCTTGATGATGCTAGTACCCGTCAGGTTTTGGTCGGTATTTCAGAATATAACAATTAGTTATGTTCCTCTATTTTGATCGACTGAGCAGCGTTTCAAAAGCCTTAATATTCAACCGCACAAGAATCTTTCGCTTTTGGCTTGTCTGTTTTTGCATGTTTTTAGACAGACTATCAACATCTACATTTGCAGTAAGGATTTTTAGCAGAAGTTACATATTTACACCAGTAGGTGGCAAAAAGTGATTGTCTTTATGAGTGAATCATTCATTCAACCGACACGTTCAAACACACTTGCTGCGTCCCAATTCGCCTACTTATACTATGCCCTAAAAATATGTACTCTTTTTGTGAATAAAAAGTACAATCTTTTGAGTATGTAGCAGAATAGTAGGCAAGCTTTGGGACATACTACCGTGTGTGGCCAATTCAGTTCAAATTTACGCTCATGAATTGAAAGCAAACCAATTCTTAAATTACAAGGTTTGACAACCCTGATTTGGAGTGGTTTATATTAGATTTTTTTACAAAACAGAAAAAAAAACTGTTAAATACCTGAACACCAAATTACTGCTCATAAGATGTTTTTGGAAGTTCACAGAGCAAAGTTTTGAGTGTGAAACTCCCAAACAAGCAGCATTTTTCTTCTCAGTCTTCGGGTATGTCCCCTGGACAATGCATGATGCTTCAGTCTAGATCAGGGATCCTCAAATCTGGCCCACGAGATCCACTTTCCTGCAGAGTTTAGCTCTAACCCTAATCAAACACACCTGAGCATGCTAATCAATGTCTTCAGGATCATTAGAAAATCACAGGTAGCTGAGTTTGATCAGGGTTGGAGGTAAA